AAGGAAACAAAAATAATAAAAACAACGGTCCGCCAGTATACGCGAGGAATTCCGACGTGTGATGGCTTCTAGGGTAAAATCCACCAGTGTACTATCGATAAAGATCTACAAATCGAAATCTATTGTCAATTCTATGTTCGCTAACCCAGACACTAAAGTACCCTAACCCCCGTCTCCAGTGTAGTTAGAGTCTACCCACAGGTCCGACGTCTCCGTTCAGAACCTGATATTAAGAGAGCATTTAGGTCAAGTCCTTAAGGGCTACCCGAGGTGCATCACGTCTCCGTTTCCACAACCCGAGCTATGCTTTCCTAAAATCAAACGAGAAATCCTCTCTCGAGTTCATTCCCATTTAGAATCAATTCAATTGTTGGCCAAACAATCGAAAGCATTTAATACAGGAAAACATAAACAGAATCAAAGAACGACAAATAAATCACAGATCTGGAAATCAAAATCAATATATACAAGGTTTCATTTCCCTAAAAGAAAATGCTCAGTTCATTACAAACATAGTATCAAAATGAAGAACACGAGAAATTATAAACTAAACGTAAAGAAAAGCTTATGAAAAACCCGAGTCGAAACCCTCGTCGAAGCTTCCCGCGAAGAACTGGCGAGAACCGAAGAGAAAACCGAAGAAAAAGTCGAGAGATGGTCGAGATCTTGAAAAATGAAAAAGAGACCTTCTATTTATAGTGAAAAATCAAAGAAAAATATATAGTCTCGATTTCTGTGCCCAGATCGCGATCTGGGCTTCTTGGATCGCGATCTGGCAACCTCGAAAACTGCCCACCGCCTTCCCAGATCGCGATCCAGGAAGTGCGGATCGCGATCTGCCCCAACTTTTCGCTGCTACTGGAATTTGCCACCAGATCGCGATCCGGTGATTCTGGATCGCGATCTGGCCTCTGCATCAACTTCAAACACTTTTTTCACCCCTTTTCAGCCCGAATTCGACAATTGTGCATTTCACAAAAGTTGTAGCCCTTGAAGTTAGCTTTTTACATCCACTTGAATCAGCCCAATCGGAGGTCGTATGCAAAAGTTATGCTTGAAATACCAAACACTGCCACAATCCGCGAGAATGCACTTTTGCACGTGTTTGGTTTGATTCTCGGCTTCGCTTCCAAAATCGTCTCGAATCGGCAAAAATAGCTTCTCTTTAACTAAAATATAAATAAAAAAAAAACAACATAATATATACAAATAAAGCCGAAAACTCGGACGAATGAAGACCAAAACACGAAGATTAGATAAGTAAAAGTTGTGCGAAACGAACACTTATCATAGACAAACCAATATTTTTGAATTTTCAAATTCCTTTTTAAAATGTATGCAGTTTTAAGTCGGGACGGTGCCTATAGGCTCAATTTATTTTGGTTTTCGGTTTGATTTTTTAATTTCTCCGTTAATTGCTCACCCCTATCGGCCCATGTATTTTTATCTTTATATTATTTAATAAGCCTAATATGGAGGGTTTGGTTTTCCCAACCTTATCAAAATGACCCCATCAGATTTCTATGTAAATTTGTTAGTTTATCTTTTTTCATGTCTTTAATTTCGTGATGGTTCTGAAGAATAAGTTATCGGTTATTTCTTTGGCGGCGGATATATGCAAGCCCATTTTTTTATTAGTTCAAGAATTCCCACATAAAAATACTAATTTACCTTAATGAAATTTAAAATCAAATAAAAAACACAAACTATTAAAAAAAATAAAAAAAATTATTTCCTTTGTGCAAGACCAAATAAAATTCATAAACCCAAAAACCTCTCTTCATTATTCTACGACTTTAAAATCTCCTCCTTCTCCTTCTTCTTCACAAACCCACCAAAAAACCCTACACACCAAAATTATCAAATACATACCAAACATTCACGATGGAGCAAACAATGATATGGTGGTTAACGATGATGGAGAACACAATGAGGTATGTTTTAACCGTTTATTTTTGTTTTTGGGTCGTTTTTTTTAGGAAAACAAGTTGACGATACCAAAAATCGGTCTGCAAATACCGATTTTTGTTACTGAAGTCGGTAACCACATTCCGATTATTTTAACAAAAATCGGTACTTACAAACCGAATTTTTTTAGTACAAATCGGCATGACACCACCGATTTATTTTTGTATTATCGGTATTGTCATGCCGACTTGTACTACAAAAATCAATTTTTAAGTACCAATTTTATTATCTGTGTTTTTTTAAGACCGTTTTTCCATACTTTTTTGCAGGAACCTAGGAAATTGATGGAGGATTATTCAGATGAATTATCTACCGAACAAATGTATGAGACACGGGAAGCTCTACTCGATTGGTTTAAAAGGGTTGGTAGACGCCACAGAGTTGTGATAAACATTTTCGTTTCAACTCCGGGACCGAAAGGGCGTAGAAGACCGTATGTTGTACTCGCATGTGAGAGTGCGGGTGAGTATCGTGGGAAGAAGAAAGCTGGTGAGGATGACCATGGAGAGGGAAAGACGGGTTCTAAAACATGTAATTGCACATTTAGATTAAAGTGACAACACGAGGAAATTATACCGATAATGTTGGGTGAGAGTTAAAATGAATCGTCCTATACCTCATATGGCGGATTATTGGCGACGGTACCATGATGAAAAAACGAATGGTTTGAAGACTTCCGATGTGGAATCAAGGATTACAATGTTTACGAAGTTAGTTGGTCAAGAAGTAGCCTTGCAAGAAACCTTCATAGATTTAACATATGTAAGTGAAGACGAGACGGTAAAAGATTTTTCATGAAACAATGTAATTGATGTACAATCGTTTAAAATTGTTGGTAGCCTTTATTATTATTACGTATTACTTACAAGTGCTCGTAACATGTATATTTATGCTTAATACCTCTATAGTTGTATTATAAGATCCAGACAGTTAAGGATGTTAGTGTATATTATGAGTTGTAAAAAAAAACCAAAAAGCGAAAAACCACGAGATATCGGTACTGAAGAAGGACCTTCATCAATCTGAGTGCGTCGACCGGGAGGATTAAAAGGGGCACACCTTTTTTTTTTTTTTTTGCTTTTCCACCTTGCTCTTTTGAGCATCTTTCTTTCGTTTACGGTTTGAGACGTTTGGCGGGCACGAGGAGGTTGAGGTTCTTCTGCAAATCATTTAAAAAATATCAATTAACCAAATATATAATATATTATTTAAAAAAAAGGAAAAGAATAGAAAAATATCGGTATCCGAAAACCGATTTTATACTCAATAATCGACATTACAACGCCGGTACAGTGGAAGTCTTGTTGGTCGGCGTTGCGGCGGTCTGGAGGCGGCAGTGGTGATATTTTCTTTTTGTTTGTTTGTTTGTTTTTTTTTTTTTTTTTTTTTTAAATTTTTGGTCTTGAACAAATTAAAAATATAATGTATTTGTATTCGGGTATTATTTGTGGATAAGGGTACATTTATCTTTTTTGGCCTTGATGTAATAAAATTAAATTAATTTTCAGACTTGGACTAATAAACTCCTTTATATGAGTTTAAACTAATAAAAATATGGGATTGCACGGCGCCTATTTCTTTCTTTCGAATAAAAGTTTGATACTATTAACAAGATAACGTCACACACTCTATTTTAAAGATTTTGTTTTATGTGACAATCACTTAATGATTACCAAAGATTACACAAACTTGACGATATATATTTTTTATCATTTTTCAAATGATCCTCCTCTAATTTGAGACAATCAGTATGCCTACTAGTTGAGAGCTACTTGCAACTTGGCAACGTAAGTCAAGTGATCTCCTATTTGATTATTTTGTATTATTCTTATTGATGAATGTGAAATATTATATATTTAATTATGTGATGATAAAATTATTTTAAATAATTTTATAAATCATTAAAGACATAATTAAATATCATAGGACAAGAAAATTATTACATGTGCTGTCCCCTCCTACATTTTATTTTCAAGATTAGGAATATTCTTCATAGACTTATTTTTCATTTTCCAAACAATGGTCGTAGCTACAGAATTCCTTATCAAATAATTTTCTATTCGATGTGATAACGAAAGGGTTTTTTAGATGCTATACTCGATGAAATATATTGGGTGATTCAACACCATTAATCTACATATAATAACAAATATACTCATGCGTATGTGTGCTTAGTTGATATTTATTTATATAAATCTATATGATGCAAAATTAACCGGTGTTTTTCACCAAATGTAGCATCTCATTGATCCGAATTAAGTGCTAACTGTCAATATATTTAATCCACAAATATCATTGTTAACACACAAAACTTTCGAGTCTGCAAAATATAATACAAAAACGAGATAAAAAAAATGCGGAACATATATATTTATTAATCAAGCGAAAATGAGTTACAATCTCTGGGAATTCCCCTGATTCTTCTCTCCTATTCTAAAATTGATTCAAGGGCTTAAAAGTTTGTTCTTGAATCGACCGAATGATTTCCACTCACGAAGACCTCGAATTCAAATATGTTATGAATTTGAGTCGGAGGCTCGAGGCTTGAGCTTGAGAGCTCGATATGTGTTTGTGTGAGTCTGATTTTTGCATATAGCCAAGACCTTCATTTATATGCACGAGCTAGGATTTCAACTTATAGCATGGACCGTTGAACTTGAATATTTATATTTTGATTTATTTGGGCTAAATATGGGCCCCATCAGCAAATCCAAAAAATAAGAATTTATTATTTTTTTTTGGATTAAACTATTTAAAACATTTGTAAAGAGTGGACTTTCGATTTTGAGACTCGATTAATATCCGATTTATTTGGCCATTAACCGGTGATTTTCTCCGAAATTTCGGTGTCAACGATCATTATCTTTCATCAAATTTGACAAAATGATTACTAAATTATCCAAAAATATAGATAAACTAATGGGAATTACTCATGATATTTATTAATTGTAAATTTGTACAAAATCACGCACACATATTGTACCCATGTATGTATATATTTATTAAGTGGATAGTTATTTAATCTCATTTACGATTAACAATCATCCAATATAAATAATCAGATGTAGCATATAACATTCTCACAAACTAATTAACTTTTTTGTGAAAGATCAAAAACTTCATAGCAAATATGAAATGTCTAAAATACACGACTTGGAATTAAATCCACCCAAGTCCAAGATATTTATCCCACATCTATATGTTATCTACTCATAACACAAGCTTGTGTGTGTATATATATATCTATATATTTTTTTTTCTAATAAAGAACCCACAATTATATATAAATTCGTACGTACATATGCTTATGAAGTCATAATTAATCACGTGCAAATACTGGATTAGCTATCTCTAATTCTATAATTCATACACCCCCTTGACTTAATTAGTGGTTACGTATACATGAGGGTTGCACAACCTTGTAACTCCTACCTCTTCCCATTTTCCGGCCGGCGACGGCTACCGGCGGAGCATATTTTCCGGCGTCCGCCGGAAAGTTGAGAATGGCTTTGGTGCCCCTCATCTCGAAGGCAGCACAATCATAAGCCCTAGCTGCATCCACATCGGTTTCATAAGTACCAAGCCAGACCCGGCTCCCTTTCCGGGTCGGATCCCGAATCTCCGCCGCGTACCTCCCCCACGGCCTCCTCCGAACACCCCTGTAGCGCCGCCTGGCCACCACCGACGACGTCGAAATACCCGACCCGGTTATCATCAGGTCGTCACTACATACGGGTAATTCGGGCTTCACGGGTTTCATGGATGCCGGGTGCGGGCTCAAGTTGATGATTTCGGGCTTCGTTTCGAACTCGAACAAGTCAGGGCTGGAACTGAAGTAACGGGAAATCGGCGAGTCGGGTTGGCTCGGTTCGGAGCAAAAGTCCGACCCGGAAGAGGGGGAGTCGGGGCTCCAAATGGGTTTAGTGTCTGGAGAAGTGAGATCTTCGAGGAGGTATCTGGTTAAGAGCTCCAGCTTTAAGGCTTCAATATTATTATGAGAGATTGTCGTCATCATAATATTATATATATCACAAAAAATTCAACATACACATATAATAATATATCTAATATTATATTTTGGTATTCGATTTAGAACTTAACGAGTAGCGGGAATATTATTATTTTGGTTTATTTGGTGAGAAAAAAATGAAAGAAGAATATATAAAGAGAGATGAGCTGATAAAAATATCTTGGCCCTCATCAATCAATAATGTATTTATCAATGCGCCGAATTAACTTGATCTACGTGTTGTTAACGCGGGCTTCACACACACATATTTTTTTTTCTAAATCGGATGCTAAATCACTAGTAGAAAATTTGCTTACTGCTAACGATAAATTTTTTTAATAAAATTTACCTTTTATAACATAACAATTTTGAAGTTTTAGTAAATACTAGGATTTACCGTAGCTAAAAAGTATTTGGTACGGCCATTTACCGTAGCAAAGCTTTTGTCACGCCCGTATATGCTACGGGGCCAATTCGTAGCAAGTGCGAAGCAAAATCTTTTTTTAATATGAATTTGATACATTTTGCTATGGTTAATGATCGTAGTAAAAAGCCATATTTCTACTAATGAATCCTACATTGAAATTACTGAATTCCGAGCATAAATCCTCTAAAATTTCTTTTTCTTCCTTCAAATCCCATACTTTGAAGCCCGAGTTTTCAAATTCGATTTTAACTACAAATCTTCACAAATTTGAACTTCATCCCATGCAATGTTATAACTTTAGCTGATTTGTATCGTTATGTAATGTTTGGGATGAATAATTGTTGGTTTGTACCTTATCGCTTTGAAACAAAGAAGGGAAAAAGTTTTTGAGGATTTTAGATTGAGAAAATTTTGGAGTTTGTGATTCATTAATTTTAGTGAGAAAATTCAACATTTCAGTTCAATAAATAGTCATAATTTTAATTAATAACAAAAAGGGAGTAAACTGCAAAAAGTACCCCTGTGTTATCTTGAAATAGCGAAAACCCCCCTGTGATAAATAAATTAGCAAAAACCCCCCTATGAAATTTAATCAAGGGCAAAAACCTCCCTAGTACACTTGCGTGTGGCACACTCGCGGATGCATGCGAGTGAAAATGGATTTGAGACCTAAAATGACATAATTGCCCCTCTAATTCTCCAGCCCCAATTCCAGTGGCCTCCAACCACCCCACCCCCACTCCACCATGGGCTGCTCCCCAATAGCCCCTCTCCTCTCCTCTTCTTCACCTCAAAAATCTGAAAATCATATTCACACCACTCCGGTTGCAAATTCTCCTCATAAACTTTTTGATTTGGTAAATGTGGCGGCGGAGCAACTACCGAGGGCTGGAGAAGCAGACGAAGGGCTGGAGAGGTGGCATAGCAGGCGTGGAGGGCTGGAGAAAATGGTGGATGAAATGTTGTTTGAGGTGGGGGACGAGATACACGGAAGAAGATGACTTCTTTTTTTTTTTTTTTTTTTTTTAAAGAAATTAAAAAACAAAAAAAAAAAAGAAGGGAGTTTGTGATGATGCAGAGGGATGAGGCGGTGGCCGAGGAGGATGTGTGCTGGTGGTGGAGCCGTGTTTTTTGTGGAAATTGCAATCAAGTCCCTAATTTAATTTTCAGAAATTTAGCATAAAATTGCAATTTTACCTTTATTTCATTTTTGAATTCAATTTGGCCTCTGTTTTATATTTTTTTTTACTGAAGGGTATATATGTCCTTTCACCTTCGGTCAACTATTAAAATCAAAATGGACCGAGTGTGCTATTAAAAAAATTTCACAGGGGGGTTTTTGCTAGTTTATTTATCACAGGGGGGTTTTTGCTATTTCAAGATAACACGAGGGTACTTTTTGCAGTTTACTCAACAAAAAGGTTAATTAATTAGAATTTTGTATATCCCATCATAAATTCCCATGTTATTTATGTTCTAGTAAAAAATGTATCTTCCTTTTCAAAATCGACAACTCCAATTGTATAGGAGTTAAAAATGTGTGTAATATTACTGGACCTCGTTAGTGAAATTGAATGTATAATTATAACCTTTTATTTTACATATAAAAAGTAAAAATAAAAGAAAAATGGGGTAGCGTCACAGGGGTGACGTCATCATATTTAGGGACAAGTGAGATGGGGTTTTGATGTAAGAGCAACTCCAATGGAGGAACTAAATGGGGTATCAAACTAAAAAACTACCACTTTGATGCTCCAAAATTAAAAAATCCTCCTCCAATGGAGGCATTAAATGGAGAACTATTTTGATATTCAACCACCCCGAGGTGCAAAAATACTCCCTTGAAAATGAGTTATCAAAAATGTAACCACTTCATTAACCTATCACTATTTGACACGTGGCATTTAATAATATAATTATTCATATATTTAAAATTTGATAACCTATTTGATGCTTGTGGTTGGAGTGAATTTTTATTTTAGAAGTATCAAAGTATTATATCAAGTATCAAATGAATGTTTGATGCTCCATTTTGATGTCTCTCCATTGGAGTTGCTCTAATAATATAAAGAGGCAAGGGGAACCAATCTATATTCCAATTTTCTCAAGTGGATGAGTGTTGTCCCCATCGATTTAATTTTCGATTTTCCTAATTTTTTTTCTTCTTCTAGATTTTTGCAAGATGTCTATCACGTGGTTTTGTAGTATTTATTTATATAAAATATAATAATTCTTTCAAATATTACGAGTCAATTTGAGCACGGAGCATCTCAGACGTAACCAACTTTCTTAAAATTTATTAGTATCAGAAAATGTGCCGACTTTAATCTTATAGGGCATTCAACATACACAAGCGCCTACGACATTCCATTGCAGGCCTCAACCCATGTGGACAATTTCTGGCTAACAATGTTAATGTTAAATGATACATTTCACTATAAGTTTAAACTTTTGGTTGAAGTGGTGGTTCTACATAACTTATCGCTTTGTAAAAATGTTTACATTATAATCATTAATTCTTGATAAATAGAACTAAATATATAGAGCCTCTTCAGCCACGTGTGTGTGTGTATATATATATATATATATATATATATATATATATAAATTAGAATATACTTGTTTATTTATATTATTAACAATATAATATAGTAAAACTTGTAGGATAATTGGCACGCAATGAAATGGGTGAACTTAAATACGTTAGTATGAAATTAACATGTTACATTCTAGCGCCGGCTGCCAAATAGGGGACCCGGGGTGGGGGGGCGGGGGGTGGGGGTGATTTCATAATTATAAGATAAGATTATATTGATGGAGTATATTATATAGAAGTTGATGGACCACCAAGAACCAGCTCGACATTAATTAAGGTAGTTGTGTTATAAACTACCAAGTACTAACTGATGAGACCATGATTATATTTCAACTCTAGCTTGGATTTATCTTTCTCCAATCAAATATATATCCAAGGTTTTTAATTAATTAATTAATTAATGTACTATTTTACTAAATATAAATTTTATTGCTACGACATTCATAATTTTACAGTTCATATCGTTGAATGATTGAACTAATCCGAGTAACTTTTGTTTTTCGGTATGTGTATATATTATTTCGGCCCATGAGATGTTGCAGTTGGTGAAAAATATCGGGTGTTTTGCACCATATACTTACAGATGTGTGTTTGTTATTACATGTAGATTAATGATACATAACCACTCGATGTATTTCACCAAATATAACATCTGATCTACATAATTAACGTTTGTATTCAAGGTGAATTTAATTTAATTATTTGTTAAATTATTATTGAATGGTAATTTGTGTATTGTATATGTGGTTGAAGCAAATTATGTACATGCATTTGAAGATAAAAAGGAATAGTAAATTAACATGATATGGATCTTTAATTCTAATTGGATGCACCATATTTTCTTGGCCCACCAATCCATATCCTCTTTGGATATTCATTTTTTGCTTGTCTAAATCAAGATTAATCACGTTCTTGATAATTTCTACAATTAATATTATTTGTTAAAATATAATCTAAGACAAGTGTCGTGCAACCACACCAAATTAAATTTTCTTGTACCTGGTTCATAATCGAATAATGGCTACTATGCGCCTAAACCGAGTTTAAATAATAGCACGATGCGCCTACTACCTGATATGATAAATATTACTAGATTTAATCTATGAAATTCAAAATTTTACCTAATTATATTTCAAATTCGATCAACTCATATTGTTAACTATTAACGATGTAGGGTTCTGATAAAATAATATGGTTGAAGAGTTGAAGAAAAATGACATGAGAGAAGATCGAATTACTGAATATCCATAATTCTTTTTCGATTACGTACACATTGTCGAATCCGTTTTCCATGCCCACGTTTTCTCGAAATTATGAAATTGATCGAATATGAAACCAAACAGAGAATAAGTAAATGGTTGAATTTCATACCATATTGTTCTACATTGAATTTTAGAGTAGAAAGATATACATAATTTCTTGTACATGACATCACAAGTAACGGTTTAATTTTATTGCTCGACTAGTCAATTGTTGACTATAGCAAAGATTGTAACATCAGACCTATTTCAATTCAAGAGTAAGTTTCAACAAGTTTTACATTTAGTGCAAACATATAATTTCACAATGATTTTAATTATCTTTTATTTGAAATTTCCTTTTATATTTATCCAAGGATTAAATCCAAAATTCACTTCTCAAATCCTATTTTTCGATATCATATTATTTATAAAATTATTTATTATACTTGTGAAATACACCACTTAATTTATTTTCTAATAATTATTGCATTCAATATATAAACACACCTTTATCACTCACATTCAAACAATTTTAACATTTTTTATCATTTCAGCATGGCGGAACATCTATGTACCAAGGATATGGAAACATCGATACAGAAAAATAGGGAAACAAATACGGGGAAACGACATGTCCAAAAAATGGGGATACGGGAGGTTGCGGAAATGCGTAAATATTAAAAGTATATGGGTATATTATAAATATGCTATATAAAAAAATATAATTTTTTTTTTATATCAAAATTATTTATATATATTTTCGTACAAATATATTAAAATTAAATATTATTATCAACTATTAATTTGCAATTCATGATTAAATCATGTACATAATTAGGAAATCAACAAAAATATTTGAAAATTTAGAAATTGCAAAATGGCTCATAAGGTGACTGTCAGATATTCTCGAGTGTAGAACATAAGACGTGTTCGAAACACGAATACGTTAACAAATTGAAGTATACGTACTACATAATATATATATATATATATATATATATATATATATATATATATATATATATATATATATATATATATATATATATACACAAAAATATATGTATGAATAGAGAATATATTGTTATTCAAAAAAGTAAATCCTATTTTAGAAAGTATTGCTTTTGAGGAGTGCATGTTGTAAGACCAATTTATAAAGCTAATTAAAAAAAAAAATAGAATTAGAGGGTGGATTAAGACACGTGCATCGATCTTCGTACAAAAGTAATAAACAAATGACTAATCTTCTTTACCTCCCACAAACTTTCGTAAATTGAAAAACCACCCCAAACTTTTAAAGTCAGGTGCATTTGAGTCTAAATCTAATTTCATAATACGCCTCATAGGACCATCATCCTTGAATACGCGAAACTTGGATGGGGAGATAACGGCGACTATAGCGGAACGTCATATATACCCATCCCATTCCCATCAGCGCAGTCGCAAAACCCCGCCCAATATGACGGCGTCAACGGCACCGCCGCCGCCGTGAAATCACTTTCATTTTTAACTTCTTCCCTCTTAACTAGCTTCTCCTCTCTTTCTACGCGGCCGCTCTCCCCTCCTCCTTTTCCGGCCTCCAACCACCGCCGCCGCCACCGCCTCATTTTCCGGCAAAGTGTTGAAATTTCCGGTTTCGAGAGGGAAATTCAGTATGGCTTTACGGCCCCTCAGCTTGAACGCCGCCCTGTCGTAGGCTTTGGCAGCCTCCACCGCCGTGTCGAAGGTCCCGAGCCAGACCCGGGTCCCCTTCCGGTTCGGGTCGCGTATCTCCGCCGCGAACTTACCCCAAGGACGCTGCCTCACGCCCCTGTAATGCTTCCTCTCGCCGGAACATTGATCTCGAGCAACCGGTGATCGCTCAACCACCACCACCACCTCCCGGCCGGAACTCTGACCGGAGACCCAGTTGCAGCTCGGAATAGCTATGTTCAGCGAAGGCTTCCTCTCGGAGAAGCTCTTCTGTTTCTGATTCGTCGGTAATTTAATTGTCTCAAATTCAAAGTATGATGATTCAGAAGAAGAAGAGCTGGAAGTTCTTGAAATCTGCGACTGATTGTCAAATGAAAAATCTGCAGAGTAGTTTTCCATGAAGGCAAAATCATCAAGAAGGTGTTGGCGGATGCTATCGAGGGCCGAGCTTTGATCGTGATCGGATGAAGCCATTCTTTCGGTTTCGGGTTTCAGGTTTCGGTTTCGGATTTTAGGGTTATCGGATGGAACTTGCAGTATGAGATCGAAGAAGTTTTTATTGGTAAAGAAATTGGAAAGAATGAATGAATTGGATTGAGTGGAAAAGAGAGTGAGAAGAAGGTGAGTTATATATAAGGATTCGAAATTTGTGGAAGGAGGTTTCAGAGGAGGGTTCCGAGGAGGAGAGAAGAAGCATCCTCACCAGGTAGTGGATAAATTTAATTATAATTATATTATTGTTTTATCTATTTTATTATTATATGATATTTAAATTCCACATGTTTTCTGAAAGGTAAATTTCACTTTCCGGTACTATGATTTGGTTTCACTTTACTCTTTTCTACTCTCGATTGCATCGATTTGCCTACATATATTTCAAAAATTGTCTAAATGTGGCCATCATTGTTAGTTGACAAACATTTGACATTAACACCGTTTGATCTAACCTCTGAAATTACAAAAAACGCCAAGTGAATAAATGTGTCTGCAAGTCCAATTTTGTGTATGCACAAATCATTTATGAAAGGGTAAATTATTTTTCCCCCTTATACTTTGGTTCGGTATCACTTTACCCCCTTATACTCTCGATTGTATCGATTTGCCCCCATATACTTGAAAAACTGTCTCAATATGGCCTTCGCCGTTAGTTTTCAGACCTTTTACCGTTTGATTACTAAAACACCACATTTCCCAGTTTAAATAATTATTCAAAGGTCTGAAAACTAACGGCGAAGAGCCATATTGAGACAATTTTTCAAGTATAGGGGGACAAATCAATACAATCGAAAATATAATGGGGTAAAGTGATACTGAACCAAAGTAAAAGGAAAAAATGTAACTTACCCTTTTAGAAATGATTTGTGCATACACAAAATTGGACTTGCAGACACATTTATTCACTTTTTTAAAATTGAAAAACTCAAACTCTCTCGACTTCTTGGATTTTGTTTTTCAAATTCTGACATGTACGACTACAAATTGGAGGCAAGTTTTATGTTTTTATGATTGACGCTTTACTAAGTTACGAATAAAAAAAAGCGATTGTGAAATCTACTAATTTCGCCCGATTCTACATAAAATTAGTACATAAATTTTCGTGTAGAATCAGACAAAATCATGAGTTTCATAATTTCAAAATGTTACTATTTGATTAAATTAATAGCACCCCCATGCTATTAATTTTGTAAGGGGTAATAAAAAAAGATGATTTAATCCTTAAAATAATATGTTAATTGAAAGTCTGTTTAGACATTTCGCATTGAATTCAAGAATTTAACAAATTTAATACAATACTGGATCGAATGAATCAAATATATTATTAACTAAATAATTAGTTAGTCAGTGAAATACTAATACAATCTCATTGAATCCAATATAATCCAATAAGGACAAGCAAACAAGGCCTAATAAAATGGGAAGGATATATATGACTATTCCACATATTTGGAAAATGGATCCCATACCGAACATTTATGTTTGGAGACGAACATGGGAATGACCATTCGCGAACTTATTGTTAGGACTTAGGGATATTAGACACGAGTTATATCTAATTTTGTCGCCAATTTGTTAGGTGGATGTTACACCTAATGAAAAGTACCGAGTGATTTTGTACTATCTATACAATTTAACACTCATTAAGTATATATACACATGTTTTTATGTGTGTTTTAATATGTGTAAATTAATGGTACAAGATCAACCAATGTATTTCATCGGTATAATATCTACAAAACAGATTTGTCATATAAAGATATTATACACAGACCTTAATAAAATTCAACCAAAACTATATAAAGACAAGAAAACCTCAAACCTGGTCTAATTATTAGAGAAAAAATCAAACAAAGTTTATCTTAATAAAATTATATTAAATGTGCATCTCCTTGTCCATATTTTTTTCTTTTTATTAGCAAAGGAAAACTAAATAGTTTTCTTCATATAAAATAATTTAAAAAAAATATATAATTTCAAATATGTAACCATCCGAATTGATCAGGCACATGAGTTTCAAATGCTTATTAACTAATACAAGAGGTTTATTATGAGTTAATTAGTAAGTAATTAAAGTGTGAACATCGTTCAAGTGTAGTTTGAATAGATTAAAAAATGACTAAAATTTAATTCAATTTTAAAATAGTTGTCTATGGTTTCAATGTGAATTTAAAGTGAAGAATTGTTCTGTTAATAATCAGTACTCCATGTTGACACGTATCTATACGTTAATTAATTATATTTATACGTTAATTAAATTCTATTTGGTCTGGATGATCTATGCCCAAGTTGAATAAATTAACAACATCTGATGTCTGAACACTAAAATATCGAGGATAAATTCTTGTACCGTACGTCAAGTTCACACATTTGATTAACATATAATTTGTCAATTTATTTAATTTTATTGGGTTCAATCTGGTAATTGGGGAAATTCTATGCTACACCTGGTGAATATAACCAGACACCCTAATTAATAAGATTTCCACTACGGGTTCAGTTATGGCCCAATGGGTTTTAGAAATATAATTATAAAATAAATAAAAAATGACACATGTCAAGAAAAGAGCCACCCGGTGAAAATCACCGGGTGTAGCATCGTATTCCCCCTGGTAATTGCATTAAATAATAATTTCTTGTTCCAAATTCAAATATAATGGGTATTTTCATAATTTTTTTATTATATTTTTTTTGGAATTTTCCAGCAAAATGCGGGAAAATTCAATTTTTTTTCCATCAAATTGCAATAAATAAAACCAATGTAAGAACAACAAAGAGTTTCGAATACCAATTACTATTTTCTAGGGTCTCAGTTTATTTGGCCATTGGATATTCCTATTTCTCATATAAAGAATAACATACATTATATTACGGAATTAAAAAATATATCATAAAATTATATTATATATTTCGAAAACAATTAAATTATTCGAAACTAAAATTGCATCAGAAATCAAAAATTCCGGTAATATTATATACAACTTCACTTTCGTTCCAAAAAAATATCGGAAAAATCGAAAATGGGAATGCAAAATATGGTTTCAAATAAAATATTTCCGGGTCGGATTTTGCGGAATTCAGAAGTTTCATTCCGATTTCCACACCTAATTGTATAAGGTGTACGGATTTTACACATCAAAATAAATTTAATATAATTTATTGGATGACCCTTTTAAAAGTAGAAATTGGTGATCGAATAAAACTTAAGATAACTATTTTCTAAAGGTTGAGTTGTTTGCAAATATAAAAAAAAACATCTTTATTTAGCTAACTTAAAAGTTGTAGTATTTGAAACAAACTATAATTTTCAACTTATTTTGTAAAATGCCTAAAATTTCATAATAAAGTGGATAACACTAAAAAAAAAAAAGCACTATCTTGGTTATTCTATGCAGTACTCGGTGAAAATTACTGCGAGTGTATTTTTACAGTTGATCTACACACATCAATATGGATGTGTGTATCTGAATGGTAAAAATCTATTCGGCGTATACTCAGCCGGTGTAACATAGAATATATTAGAAATCTCAAGTGAATATTTTCATTAATTATAAAAATAGTTTTAAACCAAAAAAGTTGTTGCATATATATACTTATATATAAATACTTTGAGATTATAATATACAACAACTTATTTGAAAAGTACAAACAAAATCTGTAATATATGTTTATATACTGAAAATGAGCTCATAATATATTTTCAAAAACTTTTACAAAACGAATTTAATTTGCTATAACATCATTCAAGCTTGAATAAATAACACATATTAATCCGGTTTTCATTTTTTCGAAAGTTTTTCTTTTTGTTTCTCCCGTGTTGACCAACACAGAATCCCTATTTGCAAGTCCGGATTCCGTGTCAAACAACATGAAACTAAAAAGAGAAAAGAAAATCCAAAAACCGGGATCCATGTTGAACAAGACGGAAATAGCATAATCGTTTTTTTTTATTTGAGATATACGTAATTCAGGAATTGTAAAAATATAAAATTTACCTCAAATATGTTATCGTATGAATAAAAAAAATGCATCGACATATACTCTGATTAAGGGGTTTCGAGAAAAAGTAACATTGTGAAATATGAAAAAATAATAAATATTAAAATTACTTTGTGACCTATCAATTTTCTCTATTACTATTTCAGTTATTCAATTCAATGAGTGTAGGGTGCATTTGATCATATGAGATTAACAAGAGCATCTACTAACCTTTTTTAGGATTTATATTTAATTTTGAAAAGAAGTCATTCATTAGGGCATCTTCGACCGGTCATCATAATACCATTTTTTCATCTAATTTAGGTGTTTTTAGTCTCCCACCCAAAATTCCTATATCACCATTACACCTAAAATTATAGAGATTTGGTTTTAGCCTCCCACCGTGGTCAACCTCCACATCACCAAATACTTAAATCCTATTTTTCCACCAAATTTTTTGGTGAAGGAATTTTCATCCCCCACCGGTCCACCATTTTCCTATTTTTTCCACCAAATCCTATTTTTCCTACCAAATATAGAGGTGAAAATAGGATTTGGCGTATTTAACACCATTTTATTAAATACCGTATAAAATGACTATTTTAATTAATTGCACCCGATTACCAACTTATTAGCATATTTATCGTAAATACATTGGTATTAATTATTAAATTAGTTTTTAAAATATAAATACATTTGTTATTATTAACAAAACATTAATTCTAAAAATATAAATATGCTTATTTTTAATTTAATTTGTATATTTTGTTGGTATCAATGTTTATTAGTTCATTTCTTTACTTAACTAATACGCTAATTGTTATTAATATAATATAATAATTAAGCAACAATAGAATGATAAAAGAAACACACTTTAATTGATGAAATACAGCACGAGACATTTAAATTGAAATACATAGCTCATAAAATAACAAACAACAAAAAACATGATAAACAATAACACAAATTATATAAGTCAAGGAAAACACAATGAATTAAGAAGGAGACTGGTAGTACACTTGTGGGATAAACATGCTCAAATCGGTGATGTTGAAGATTATGATGGTGATGATGATGATAATAATGGTGAATGAGATTTTTTTATGATTTCAAATTAATTTATGTTGTAATATTTTATTTATGCAATAATTTATGAGATTATTGTTTATGTAGGATTTTATTATATTAAAAATAATTTGAGTTCATATTATTTCATTTTTAGACAATTTTTTAAAATTGATAACATAATTTTTAATTTATATAGTTAAGAAAATTTATTACTTAGCATTGGATCTATAATTAATATTTAGGAAATAAAATATTATAAAATTAGGATTAACATTAGATTGACATTTTTGGGGCATATACGGTGAAATGCCATGGGAGACCAAACCAAATCTCATTTCCTATAAATGGTAAAATGGTGAAATATTATTATTTTAATATTTGGTCTAAATTTTGGTGAAACCCATTGGAGACCAAAAACACCATTTTTCCAAAAAAATGGTGAAAGAGTAAAATGGTGTGCAACCGGTGGGAGATGAACCCATTTTTTCATCACCATAAATGGAATTTGGTGAAAAAATGGTGAGACCGGTCGGAGATGCTCTTAGGGCATCTTCGACCGGACGCCATAACGCC